GAAGTAACAAAGGAAACCGGTGGCTGTTGTGCTTCCCGGTTTAGCAGTAAGGCTGCTGTTGCTTCCTGGTATTTAAGAATTATAAAGCTCAGATTACCAAGACAATGGTGGAAGCAATCTGAAGAATTAGACTCTACCTCTCCTATCACCTGAGGGTGGTGCCTTCTGAAGGAGAGCCCTCTGTGTTCCCTGACAGGGATCTTTACTCTTGAGTCATAGCTGCCCATCCTTTCCTGTCTCAGGCCTTCTTGGTTTTCATTCCAGATTTGGCTGTGCAAATATCGGAAGAAACACCAGCAGATGTGATAGCCAGGAATATGAGGCGGCATAGCAGTGCAGGTAACATACCTGGCCGGGTGTCTGCACCAGCATTGCAGGAGTGAGGGGAATGCCCTGAACTCCCTGGATTATGTAGACCTTCAGTTTTCACCATCTGCGAAGGCTGAGCCGATGCCTGCCTCTTAGGTTACCGTATGGGGTGTAGCTTTCTTGAGCTTTGGGAGTGAAGGGAGCTTGGAAGACTGCCTGGGTTGGTGGGTCCTTCTAAAAAGAAGGCAACCCAAGTACGGAGTGCTCTCTGGCCGGGCAGCATCCTTGGCCCGAGAGCTTTCAGCCTCCGGGTATCTTGACAAAGTCTGGGGCTGTATTCGGGGTGTGACCAGCTGAGGGTCACAGCTGGGTTATACTGGGAACAAAAGGAACTGTGCAAAAGGGAAGTGTGGGAGAATTGCAGGCTGTCCCCTGAGCCCTGATCCTCGCGGCATGCATGCTCCACTCCTAAGAGCAGCCCAGGGCTAAAAGACAAGTCTTCTCCTGCATAATAGCAGATCTCTCCTAGAAGATGGCTACAATACAGGCAGGGTTGTTCCCTGCCTGTGGGCTTTGTGTGGCTTTCTCCTCCCTCATGATACACAAAGCCTTTTGTGGCAGTTGCTTACCTAACTGCCAGGCTCTCGGCTGCTGTAGTTCACGTTGTCTAATGTCACCATCTTTTCTCTCTTCTCTCCAAGGCTCTCCAACAAGCAGAGATTCCTCTTTCCAAGACACAGAGACTGACTCATCTGGGGCACCTCTGCTTCAGGTGTATTGTTAAGGAAAAGGACCCAAGCAGCAGGCAGGCATTCCAAGGCCTTGCTGCGATCAGATCTCTCCTCTTTCAATACGGAGCGTGCTATGCCACTTCTGGTTTTTTTCCCGGTCTGCCCTGATCCTTTGTTGAAGCCAAATTTCTCCAGCTGTCTGAATTTTACTGGATTTTTTTTTTTTTTTTTTTTTTTGGACAATATAGAACATCAAGGAAGTGAACTGTGGAGCTAATGAACGTGGGAGGTGGAATGTGTGCCCAGGGAGGAGAAGATGGACAAGGAAGTATCAGATAGCTTGTGCCTCTATGATTTCTGTACTTCACATTTAGCTTCAGCAACCTCAGTGGCCCGGCCCTTTCCCTGCTTTGATGATCTGTCTTACAGTTCTTGCTTCCTGGCATCGCGTATGTTAACTTGGGTAGGGAATAACTGGCTGGTGCCTTGGTGTTTGTGCCGATGCTGAGCTGAAGGCCAAGCACCTGGTCTCTAGGGACCCAAATCTCTATTTAAAGTGTCTGAGTCAGTCCCAAAAATGTAAGTAAGTCCTTTATCCATAGTGTTTGCAGATGCCAGGTCTGCCGCCTTCCTGCTGGCCCTTAGCAGTGTCGTCTCCTGCTGCCTTGCAAGGAGAAGGTTCAGGTAATGCAGTTGGTTTAATCTTCGGCCTCTTGGCCTGTCTCCCGGGGTCGTGCCCATGGCAGAAGGGTGGGATGCCTGGACAGCTGCTCCACTCTCATCTCCTGAGCAGACTGTGGGGATTTGCGGTCACTGCCAGCCTGATGAGAACTGTGGGTGTGAGGTTACCACTTGCAGGTGTTGACCTGTGGCTTGCGTGCCAGTCAGCTCTTCCTCACTCATCTGCCAAGCCCTGTGCGTTTCCCCGAAATGCTTGGTGTCACGCTGACTGCTGGGCAAGTCTTGAACTCGGGTTATGGCAGGTGAGTGAAATAGTTGGCTCATTTTTAAGCTTTTGTGATTAAGAATTGGGCTGTTTGACTCTTCTGCTAGAAACTCCCTTAAAAATGGCTTTGCTTCAAAAGGAAAGCCACCCCTGAGAGCGTCTGCAGAGAGCCCGTGAGGCACTGCTTGGCCCTGCCTTTGCCTTGTGGGCTCTTGGCGCCTTCTCCTTCCCTTCGCTCCTCTCTAATGGCCGGCTGGGAGCAGGAGATGCGATCTCGCTACCCTGAGGGCACGGCACCAGGCGGCCTTGAGGGCTGCAGGATTGCAGCAGGAGGAAGCTGTGTCTTACCTGGTGTTGCCACTTGGTTGTTTATCATAAAGTAAACACGTGAGGCCATGGGACTTGTTTATCTGTTCGGGTGCCCTTGGACATGAATGGAAAACGTTTAGCTGAATTTACCAGCCATAGAATAAACACACCCACTGTTTTGGGGAGAGAGGGAAACCAAAATAGGCCCTGTGCTTTGTTCTGGACCATGGTTTTGTGCCTTAATTGAACTGAAACGTGCCTGAATTGAACTGCAATGTGCCTTTATTTCATAGCCTGTGATAACTCTTCAAAAGGTTGGGTGGAGGGGAGGGGATTTTATTCCTCACATGAGCAATCAGGCTTATTTAACTGGCCAAAGCCCCTTGATATGTACAGTCCCAGTCCCTGTCAGAGCCCGGTTTTGTAAACTGCTCTTGTTTCAGAGCATCCTTTCATCAATTATGGACGTTACTGAGACCACTCCTTGAGACACTGACAGAGAGACATTTTTTAAATTAAAGGGGAGAGACTGAGGCTTGGATTTGGCTTCCCCTCCCCACTTTGTTTTTAAAGCTGTTGGTTTGTGAAAAACCCCATTTATGCAAGGAAGAGACTTGAAGCAAGGCCAGCCCGGGACTCCCAGAGGAGCTGTGTTTGGTCACCTCCTTCCAAATGCCACACGAACTGATGGACCTGCTTGGCTTCCTGCTTCTGAATCGATTTGTACATACGTATTTGGACAAGTTTACTTAAACCTGTGCACTGAAGGCTTCAGCATGGGTCACGTGGACCTGTAGCTTTGTGGTCTGTGCACTGGAGCTTTGGAGATGAGGGGTGAGGATGGATGAGGGGTGAGGATGGACATGCAAAGAGTTGCCGATCACTACTACAGATGCAATAGCACAGTTTTAATGTTTAATCTGTGTACGAAGAGTGAATGTGTATGGATTAAGCTTGCAAAAAAAACCCAAACCAAACAAACCCCCCCCCCAAGAACTCACTTAAGAGGAAGACTGTCAACTTGATGGTCCCTGAAGCTGGTGCACCTGTGGTGTCTTACGGGATTCTTTTGCACTCCTTGGCCCTAAATGTCTGATTTGGTCTTTTTTTTATAAAGATGTGCTCTTTACCTGTGCTGTGTCTTTTGCCTTCCTGCTTGCATCTGTTTGGGGAGGGCATCCCTTGGTGGAGGTAGCCTGGGCCAGGCGGGGTGGGGCGGGGTGCGGGCGGGGTGTTGCCGATCCCTGCTTTCCCAGCAGCAAAGGGACAAAGATATTTTTGTCTATTTGGCAGCATTTGCCCATGCCTGGCAGGGATTGTTCAGAAGGCTGAATGCCGGGCTGGTGCATGGGACATGGGGAAGCTGGGTGCAAATAAAGGAGCCTCTGGGGAAGTGCCTGTTTGGGAAACCTGGACCTTCCCTGAGGGGGTGATGCTGGAACTGAGCTCTGGAAAAACTGAGCCTGGGGTTGTGGGAGAGGGAGAATTTCCAGCTCCTTCCCTGTGGTGTAGGCAGCTGTTGCTAGAAAATGCAAGAATTGCTCTGGAGCGGTTGCTGTCCCTGGTGGCAGGGCAGGATCTGCCTGGGGAGGGAGGCTGGCTCAGTCTCTGACCTGAAGGACCAGTTTTGTGCTTTCTGATTTCACTAACAAAAAAACTCAGCCGATGAACTGCAGAGCTCCGTTCCCTGCCCTTCCCTCCGTTCCCCACCCTGGGCAGAGGACAGCAGGGAGGTGGTCATGGGTGGGATTTTCCCCCTGGTGCATGGGACCAACTCTCCCAGCACCCCGCCGAGGTAAGAGCATGGATGGTGTGAAGGATTTGACGTGTGGAAAACAGACTCCACAATCTGTAACATTGTAAAGTAGGTATGTTTATTCAGCGCTGGGCAGCACGAAGGGTAGTCCCACCAAAGTCGTGCACGCGTGTGTGGTAGCTTGCCTTGAAGTTATACTGCAAAGTGTTACATATACATAAGATTCCCAAATACGCCTATACATATGCATGACTTGTCCCCGCTTTGTATTAAAATTAGCCCCATGAAGTCATTTCCATAAACTCCTCCCAACTGTGCTTGCGCAGTGTCTCCTGGTGGTAGTCGTGGGGATAAGGCCAATGCCTCCTCTCCGTCGCCGCTAGTAACCCCTTGTTCTTGTGCAGACTCAGTTGCTCCTTAGCTCTTGTCCAAACTACGGGGTCGGTTTTAGCTGGTTCTCAAGGCAACTTCTCGATTCTTATCAAGAACTTGTACAATAGACAATAGTGAGCATGGTTTTAAGCAACATCTTCTCTACTAGGATCCCCTTTTCAGATTGGTGCTAACCCCTCCTTTTTTTTTTTTCCTTGAGTTTGATTTGTTAAGGACTCGTGATTCTTGTCTCATCCGTGCACCCATGCAGAAGACTGAGCCCAAACTTGAACCCTGCTGTGCTTGGTCCCCTTCCTGTTCTGTCCCCATTTTGTTAAATGAAGACCAAGTTCAACCTGGCCGGGCACCCTTCGACAGCAGGCAGAGTCCCCCGCGGTTGTGCAAGAGATGAGTTTCCTGGAAGGATTTTAAAGCTGTGAACAGGTAAATGCTGCCTTCTCTTGGCTGGGAAGGGGCTCCAGAGGAGATGGGTTTGTGTCTGGAGCCTTTGAACCAGCTGGTTGGGGCCCCAGGGGAACGGAGCAAAGGCTGCTGGCAGCAGCTTGCCGGCCAACCTCCAGTACCCCATGTGGGGATGAGGCTGTGTCACTGCCATCTCTGCTGTCCCCTCCTGCTGCCCTGCTACTTCCCCCTACAAGCCTGGGCCGTATTTTTCTGCCCTCTGCCTACCCTTCCTCTCTGTTTCTCCAGTGCTTTTCCTGGAAGAGGTTAGTCTTCCCTCAGCACTCGTTCAGCTGGAGCAAGCGAGTAACAGGCAGCATTGCTTCTGCTTCTCTTGGGCACATTGGATCCCCGGGGAAGACTCTTTCTGGAGGCTTTGGGTCCGGTCACTGCTCAGTGCAGCTCTGCTGGGTGCCCAGCATGGGGGGCTCATCCCCTGCCCCAAAGCACCACTTCCTTGCTAGCTGGCTGCTTCAAAACTGCTACTGCGAGATCACTGCAATTTCTGGAAAGATTTGAAAACTTTGCATTTAAAACTATGATGCCACGGTCGATCTGTCTCTGCTGTCAGCCCTCTGTTCAGCGATGCTCCTGCTTTTGAGTTCACTGCATGGTTCATGGGTTTCCTTGCTTGCAGCTGCACGTGGAATGAGTCCACAAGGGTTTTTTTTGTCTGCTGAAGGTCGTGTCTGCTGTCGATCAAGCCATCTCGGCTGCTGCTGTAGTGGGTTTTGCTCTGAGCGTTAGTGTTGAGCGTTTTGCTGAGCGATCTGGCAGAAAGAGTTGGTTGCCCGAGCGGAGATCTTACAAACACAAGAGCCCTTTACCCGGCTGTGTGCATGTAAACATGCCCTTTTCGCGCAGGTGCTTCCTTTTGGGAGCCTGACTCAGCACCTTTCTTTTCCCTGAAGACATCGTTTGATTTTTTTATTGGGCTTGCTTCTGCTGGGAGACTCCCCAGAGAGTCGCACTGCGCGTGGGTCCTCGCCGTGCCGCAGAAGAGCTGCTCTTTGGCACGAGGACTTCAGTAGGATCCAACGCCCTGCACGGCCCAGGCCACCCCACTGCCAGTGGTTCCTTGGGTTCGGGTTAAGGAAGGTCAGTATCTGTGCTGGGAATGGGTGTCTGCGGCTTTGAGTGTTAAAGAAAGAACTTCATCTTCCTCATCTGCACCCTGAGCTACTGAATGATTTATTTCAGTGTGGCTTAGAAGTTAGAAAGTGGATGGATTTACTGTAATTCTTTATACCCTGGCCCTTAGCAGTAACAGAGAAGCTGTGGCTTCTTGAAGGAAGCAGCAATGTTAAATACCCAGGGCTTCCATTTCCCTCTTTGGGGTTTTGCTGTTTCATTGCTTTTTCCAGAACAGTCCTGCAGCCTGGGCCGTTTCCCAGTCTGAGCTGCGATATTCATTAATGAAAGCTAAGCCAAGAGCTGCTCTTGGGGGGGCGGGGTGAAAGATGGGGAAAATTTTCCCATATGGAAAGCCCTCTGCAGCGCCTGTAGCTCTCAAGGTTTTGCTTTTAAAGGCTGCAAGAAGGGGCCCAGCAGCGAGGGAGGCGCAGCCAGGCGTGTGGAGGAGCTCTGGGCTGTGCTGGCAGCCACGGCTCCGGGTGGTGGCAGCACCAAAACGGCTTCTCCAGGTGATTTGACACGGGCGTGGAAAGGCAAAGGGACCTTCATTGCCTGCCACCTTCCAGCACCGCCCTTCCCGGTCTGCTGGGAATGAAGACAAGGATGCATTTGTAAGGTTTGGTTCCCAGCCTCCCTCGTGGTGTCTGGCATTTCCCAGCCGTGGTCACAAGGACGGGGCCACGGGCTGTGGTCTCTGGTAACTCAAAGGTGAGGATTTGCATTCTTTAAGCCACTTTGCAGCTGGTCGGACCAGAGCTGTCCTGCCCTGGCATGATTTACTCCAGAGGAAACTGCCTTCTGGAAGCAAAAGGGTGCTTCTGATTCAGCTTGGCCCGGAGAAAGTCAGGGGCAGCTGGGTGTTTGCAGAGGACAAGGCCGTCAGGAGAAACACCTTCTGTTCCGCTGGCCAGAAGGGTTGAAGTCCAGGGGTAGTGCTGGGATCAACTGCCGTTCACAAACACAGCCCCGGGCATTCACCTGCAGCAGGGTTCAGAGCTGCTGTTATGGCCCTGTTCTCCCAGGCCTGTTTGCCTTTTCCCTTCACCTGCAAAAAAGGTGAAATGACCCTCCTTCACCCCCCAAAACATCTCCCCCAGCTTCCTCTGGGGTTCCTGCTGCTGCCTTTTCTCTGTCTTAACCCTGTCTCCCCTCAGCCGCTACCCAGCCGGTCTCCTGCCAACCAGATCCAAGACCAGTGCCAGCTTGAACTGGAAAACTCGGGAGTTTCACAGCCACGATTACCCTGACTGCTGCCCTGGCTTGCACAAGCCACGACCCTGCAGGGGCTGAGGACAGGAACAGCCACGGAGATTTTGGGTTTGGCAATGCTTGAGGGAGCTCCGCGCTTAGAACAGGCAGCCCAATGCTGCGTAACGGCGAGCGGCTGATCCTGCGGCTGCCGTGCCAGATCCAGGCAGCTGCTGGTGATGGCATCAGGTTGGAGTTGGGGTTTCTGGTGTTGGTTACAGAGCTGAGGCGGTAACAGGGAAGTAACAAAGCTACAGGTTGGGCTTGGGGTGGTGCCTTGAACAGCTGAGAAGGGGTTGAAGCTCGTCACCCCCCCCAGAACAACTCAGTTCCCCCCTGCCCTCACCTGTCCCATGCACCACAGTTAAGCACAGACGCTGGCAGGTACGCTCGCTCCAGGGGTAAGCGCCTTCAGAGCCAGCACAGTCTGGTTTTATGGTAACAGGAGGCCCCAGCAGGGAAACGTGTGCGGGGTGAACTGTGAGACGAACAGGCGGGAGGATCCAGCAGTCCAGAGGCAGCTGCCCTGACCTGGGCCCTTGCTTACCCGCAAGGTCAGTGCTTGACTGGGTGGGTGCTGGTTTTTGACCCCAAGAACCTATAAAACTGGGCAACTAAATGCAAACAACATTCTACTACTCAAAAAACCTCCAACCAACCCAAAACCCAACAAACACGCCAGGTGTGATGCCAGGCTGGACTTTGCCCAAGCAGGTTTTTTCAGCCGTTTGTGCCCTTGCTCTGGTAGGAGGTGGAACCGTTTTGGGGCAGCAGAGGCAAGAACCACAGCAGCGGGGATCTGAGGTAGCCTGTAAAGGACTGACCACAGCCTGGGCTTTTGTGACGCTTCCTTCGTCTGCTCGTCATATGGCAGACCCGGGGCAAGGGTGGCTTCCTCGGCGCAGTCACGCGCTGCTACGTGGAGAGCGGAGCCTGGAGTAATGAGCCTTGGGCGGTCCTGAGTGTTTGAGCTCAGGAGCCGACAGAGTTTGTCGGCACTCTCGAGCGAATCGGGCAGCTCCACCTGCCTCTCCTCGGCTGGGAAGCGAACGCTGGCCCAGAGCAGGGAGCGCGAGAGGCATTCATGGGCAGCTGCAGAGAGCGGGACCCCAGCCCCTGCCAGGCAGCCCCCCAGCCCCCTCCCAGCTCACATCCCCGCCTGCGCAGGCAGCCGGGATCCCTTCTGCGGGAGAAATCACACACTGTACCTGGAAATATGCCACTTTTTTTTTTTTTCTTTATGTTGCACTGCAGTTTTAACAAAGATACGAACATGCAGAATGATGCCACTTGTCAGCAGGAGCTCAGAAAAGAACGCAGCGATGCCTGTCAGTAGTCAGCAGGGAGAGAATCTCTTGGAAGAGGCAGGAGACACACTCCCAGCAAGAACAGCACCCCAAAAACACCCCCCCACACCCTCTCCCTTTCCCACAACCACACACTCTCCAGCCTGCCCTTGCTGTAGGACAGAAGCTCAACCTCTCCAGCTGTGATGGGAGCTCTCCCCTGAGCCCCGCGGGGCTCGGGCTGTTCCATTTCTGGCAAGAACAGAAGGAGCAGCAAGGCAGAGCAGAGTCTGTCTCTACTGCAATAGCTGGTTCTTTTAGACTGGTATTTTCCCTTCCCAAGGAGGCAGGAGGAGAATTATTTTACAAAATCAACTGGCCCTTGTTTTCACAGGAGAGCAGGAAAGCTGAGGGGAAGGGAGTGAAAACTCGCTAGTTTTTTTTTCACTTGCTAGTGAAAACTTTGCTAGAAACTGAAAACTTGAGTGAGTACCTGCTGCCAAACTGAAGAGTTTGAATTAGCGGCTCTGAAGAGCCAGGAGGTGAAGCTAAGCGACTCATTAAGGGTATGTCCCTAAACCTCTCAAGTCTGGCTCTTGTAGCCCTAACACCCTTTTTGCTCTTACCCCTCCTTCTCTCCTAACTGCCGTTTGGGAAGTGTCGCAGATGGTTCTGACCGGAGCTGCTGCAGGCCGCTTCTGTGGCCTTGCGTTCTGCTCAACACAGGACAATGGAGGACGACTCTGTGAAGCTGCCCCCGCAGCAAGCTCGGGTGGGGATGCTGGAAGTGTTTACTTGCCCAAGGTAAGAGATATCCGGCAACACATATCCCGCCCCATTTGACGGGCTGACTGAAAGAGGAGGGGGGGAGAAGGGGAGGGCTCAGTTGAATTTAGCCTTTGAAAAGTCCATTTCTGGATGCTGTTCCATGAACCTGCAAGGAAAACAAAGAGAAGGGCTTGGGTATGAGTCAGCAGGAGCCACAGAGCAGCTCTGTTTGGGGGAGTAAGGCATCCCCACCTCCGGCACCATCCTGTTTGCTTCCTCCCCACGCCCTGCACAGCAGGGACTGTTTTGCTGAGCTCCTTGGGACACACACTCCCCATATTACAAACACTTTTTCCTCGGGTCAGTGGTATCAGCAATCCTACCAGCCATCAAGGTCAGTGAGTCCAAACACAGGGGAGTTATTAATTATCAGACACACACCCTTTAACTGTTACCTCTCGGACAGACACGTAGCAGCTACGACACTGATTGCGGGGCAGAGGGGAGATTGCAAGCGGAGATTACAATTTAAACTCAACAGTGTTATCTTAAGCATTACTGGGGACATGGGGAGTATCTCCAGTGCTGTGACAGTGAAAACTCGTGAAAGATGTGACCAGACAAATCTGGTTTCAGACTAGGTGCAACCTGATTTCAAATGTACTCCAGTCCCAGCAGATAGGGACTATTTGAACTCAGATTGCCACATCAGAAAGTTCTGAGAACACCACGCTGTGCCTATGAGTGATCAGCAGTGATTAGCGCAGGCAGAAGCTCCCAGCTTCCTCCTCTGCCCTGCAGTTCACCAAGGGATACACCACGTAACTCCGCAGAGGATCAACGCACAAAGCACAAGAAAGGGCATGCCTCCGTCTTCCTCCGTGCTCTCGTCTCCTGGCTTCCCCTGAAACGCCACCAGAGCGTTTCCACTTTCCATTTCCACGGAAATAGGTGCTGCGAGAATAGTGTCCTTGTTTAGCAGCCAAGAGGGCTTCACTTGGCAGTGATTAGGATCCACCTGGGTGTCACCGAGTCTACTTTGGCCTGAACAAAGTCTAAACTTCCTATCCGTTCTTTACCAGCCAATCTGCGCACAAGCCAAACTTTCAGAGCACTGAATGAGTGACCTTGCCAACGAGGTATCCTGTACGCTGGCTTCCCAGGAGGAGAGGGCTGCCTCCCATTCTACCAACTCAACAGACAGGCACAAAGGAAGGCTGGTCTCTGCTCTAAACCAGTTGCACCCTATGCTGTACTCAACGCACTGATCAGAGCGATGCTTCTGCCGCTACAGATAAGCCAAGGAAGAAAAGGAGTCGGGCCTCCTTCACCAAATCCTCCTTCCAATCCTGAGATAAGATGTGGCTTTGCACTCGCTGAAGAAGCTGCGTGACCCAGAATTGCCGCCACGCCATCCAAAACGGCCTTGGGAGCACCGCGAGCAATTTCCCTGCCAAGGTGTGTTTATGCCAAACAGGGCAATAAAGGCATAAAAGTGGTATTGGCTTGGAGACAGCTGTCTGGTGGCAGGTGTGCAGGGAGGGGCAATTATCTGGGCTACTGAGTAGAGGGAGATTAGAAAACAATCAAGACCATGTTAAAGTTCAGTAGAGACGGTACCTCCAGTCCCAAACATGCTTTCTGGACTTGAAATCAGCACATTAAGACAATTTCAGAGTTAGGTTATTCCCAGAATTTCCCATTATGCTTTCTACCCCCATGGGCTTTTATAGACACTGGTGGTTGGCCAAGAACTCAACGACTACGTAACTGCAGATGCGAACACAGGTAGGATTGAAGGCCAAGCTGTTTTCTGCTCACGTATTTGTGTCAAAGAGGAAGAGGATGGGGGCTTGGGAAAGCAAATACCCACAAATTAAGGAGGTCTACGCACTTTTTCAAAATGTCTTGCTTCTTCTGTTCATCAGATGTGGGGAGGCCCATGGATTTCTGTCGTTGATCGTACATCATTTTCTCCACCATACTGCGAGTTTCGCTGTCCAGGTCTGACAACTAAAAACAAGGACTTCTATCAAAACTGGAATAACTTGTCTCAACCCATACATAGACCCTGCTTGCAGAGAACAGGAGGACACTGAGGTTACACTGTGCTGTGCGCACAGGCTGCAGAAATACTTATACATTTCAAGTTTGGGGGGCAGTTATGTTATATGATAGCATCCTATGCAGCAGTACTCCCAATATTGGTTTTACGCTGGTAAAAAAATAAAGAAGATGTAGACGTTGAATGTGAGCCAAGTGTGAGCACATTTATGAGAAGGCTCCGTTCGGTAAAACAGGGGGAGTTCTTACCTTTGAGTTCTCTGGATTAATTTTCTTGGTGTTGATTTCCTGGTCTGTGGAGACTAGTTTGTTCCACCATTCCATCTTGTTGATCTGAAGAACAAAAAAGCAAAAATACTTTATTTTTCCTGGACTCGCTCTAGGAATTTTATGTCTCAGTCACAGGAAAAAGCTGCTGGAATCAAGCTTTGACAGTTTTCTAAATGTCAGTAAAATCTGAACGTGGATAAAGGGCGCTGCTTTCATTCTGAACCACTTTAGGTGGCCTGAAGTTCCATAACCAGGAAATCTGAGAGCGTGCCAGATGTCACGTTTGGCACGACATAAATGGGATTACAAACAAGTCACCTGGAGAGGCCTAGAAGGGCCACAATGAGGGACACAATAAGCAATAACGTCTGTCCCTGGATTTTTGTGTCACAAAGAGATGTCAAAACATGGCATGATTCCACTAAGCAACAACTTTATAAAATTACTGAGTTCCTTCCAGCTTTTCCTGAGCTGCCGAGCCATCAGTTGGATATCCTGGATTGGCACAGAGTTAGGCTGAAGACCAGGGGAACCTGCAATGCCCCACTTCAGTAGCATCGCTGACGTCGTACTGAGGATCAGCATGGTTCTTGTTTCAGCTGACAAAGCCCAGGGCTTTCATAGGTTTTGTCAGACTCTTATTTCACCAGGGAACAGGCAGACAAGTCTGAATCCTCCCTGATTCATCCTGCTTTACCTTCTCCAGATGCACGGTGACTGTTTTACCATCTTCAATCAGCCAGGAGCTCTCCTCCACCTTCACTTCATTGAAAAGCTCTCCATCGATGACAGGCGAATGACCCTTCAGGCCAACTTTGAGGCGCCGTCTCTGGATATCCACCACCACATCCTTCCCCTTCAACCTGAAGTTCACCTTGAAAGGGACGGCCAGCTGGACCAGACAGAGGTCAGATTTGAGGAGCTGAGCAGTGAAGCCTCTCCTTACCCTCTTGTGCTGCTACTCTAAGACTTTTTGCCTTGGTTTCGCCAGAATAAGACAAAGCACATGATATTTTCCTTGGGATACTTAGCAAGCGGGAGGTGAAAGGAAACAAGAATAACTTTGGCAACAGGATGGCCAATACCTCAAAGGGACCATAAAAAAGGAAGCAGATTTTAACATCTTGCTGAAACAAGACCAAGGTTTGGCAAAGTTAACTACAGCTTCTGGGCGTTTTATTTAGTTACCAAGCTCTCTCCCAGCTATTGAAATGTTGCCGTTAAGTACCACTAACAACCTTCCGCAGGCAACTGAGATACAGGGCATCGGCTCCACTGTTCCTACCAGCACCTGCTCTTATTCCCTATCTCAGATTCCTCAGATCCTGGTAATCAGGCAATACTTACATCCAATTCTGAAAGAGTCTGTGTCCATCTATAATTTGGAAGGTCAGCTCCGTTGCCAGAGTTGGGTTTAAGTTTTCCTTTATCCTTCTCATCTTCCTCTTCATCATCTGTTTCCTAAGCAACCAATTTAAAGTGTAAAGAAAGAAGCTTTTCGAGTTTCCACTTATTTTTCACTTGTAACAACAGTTCTTGGTTCTTACAAGAATTTCAGGTCAGGTGCATCTATTTGATATTCACACAAATTTAGCCCAAAATGTATAGGTGTTTTTGTTAAAACATAATTACAAAAAAGGAAAGGAAAACAAAACACAAAAAAACCCCCACTGAAATCTTTGGGAATTAAGTGTGTATTCTCAACGCATTCCCTCATGTTTACAGCAGTTCTCATGGCTGTCCAGGAACCTATTTCTCTCACTCTCAGACTAAAGTAAAGTCCCTAGATAAGCTTTACCTGTTTGTTAGAATCTGAAGATTCACCTTCATCCTCTGAGGGTTTCACTGGGACACTGTTACTCTGTCCTTGTGCCTCTTTTTTCTGTTTAAGAAGAGAATGAACATGCTCAGACAAGTGATGGTGCTCCGTGTTACTCACTTAGCTGACACTAGGTGGCCTTAGCCTCCTCAGCTGAAACTAAGGAGCAGGACTCAGAACCGCACTCAAGACTGACCAGGGAATTTTCAGCCCTTGGAACAGTGTTATAGGAAAGTGGTGCTGTCTATGGGAAAACTCCTGTGGTCCTCATACCTTGATGACTGTAGCAGAAGGTGTTGCTACAATCAGAGTAGCTTGCTGAAGGCAGAAAAGCAAAGTGAGTTATGGGAGAATCTGCATGAAAATGCAGTGGGGTTTGGCTTAGGCTAATTTAATTTCAAAGCACACCAGTCTGGTGGTCCAGACACTGCAGAGGAACAAGCCTTGAGTCATTTTAACCACTCACTGCTACCCGAGCTACCTGCAGGCCAAAGGAGGAGACGACCTAGATGGTATCTGCAGGTACCAGACACTGCTCTCACCTGGTTGATTTCCAGCTGCAGCCTTTCTGCTTCCTCGTCTGTAAGTTCCTTAATCCTTGGCTCGTTTGCTTCTTGCTTTTCTTTAGCAAGTTTCGCAGCTCGCTCGGCCTTTTCACGCCGCTCTGCCTCTTGACGAGCCTTTTTCTCTTTCCGCTCCTTCTGAGCTAGTTTGTTGTGATGGTTGAAGGTATCTGTGATCAGCTGAAAGACAGCAATACATACCAAAGGGTTTTTAAAAAATCATCACTTTTTCAAACAGAGATGAAGCCAACTCAACTGTCTACTGAGGAGCACAAGCACATTTGTTAGTCATACAGATGTTGTGACTTTTCCCCTCATTTTCACTCTAGTCTTTTTGACTGAAAATCTAGAATAGGGGGAAACTCTAAATATTTAAATGTAGCCCTTCCTAGTTCTTCCTTATTGTCCTGGTTTCGGCTGGGATAGAGTTAATTTTCTTCATAGTAGCTAGCATAGTGCTGGGTTTTGGATTTAGTACTAGAAGAATGTTGATAACACACTGATGTTTTTAGTTGTTGCCAAGTAGTGCTCAGACTACTCAAGGACTTTTTTGAGCTTCTCCTACTTGGCCAGGTGCTTAACAAGCTGGGAGGGAGCACAGCTAGGAGAGCTAACCCAAACTGACCAAAGAGCTATTCCGTAACATATAATGTCATGCTCGGGGCGGGGGGGGGGTTGGTCGGTTGCAGGGAGAGTGATCACCGCTCGGGGACTGCTGGCGGCTCAAGACGGGCTGGGCATCGGTTGGCGGGTGGTGAGCAACTGCGTTGTGCATTGTTCATTTTGTATACTCTGTATATTCTGTTACCATTCTCATTATTACTATTATTATTATTTTCTCTTATTAAACTGTCTTTATCTCAGCCCTTTCTTCTCCTTCCTGATTCTCTCCCCCATCCCACTGAGGGAGGGGGGAGTGAGCGAGCGGCTGCATGGTGCTTAGTTGCCAGCCGGGTTAAACCACGACACTTATACAGGGAGTGTATTTCCATGGAGAGAACATAAAAATAGAGATTCTGCATTTGTTTTGGCCTTTGTGCAAATCCAGCAGGATGAGCAGACGCCTAACCCAGCCATTTGACAACTACGCTGTACAGCTAGCACAGTTGGAAGAATGGGGACCCAAGGGGTTTTTACCTACTGCTGACCTTTCCCACGACTGGGCGCTAGAGGAGATTCAGCGTCCTGATTTAGAGGAGTAACATCTGAAAAGCTCGATGTTTTAGGGGCAAGTTCCTACATAAGTCTTTGCTTGAAACCTCACTCTAAATTCTTATGTCTTTGTGACTACGAAAAGCAAAATCCCAAGGTCTCTGATGCAAACGGCTGTACTGCTCGGAGGGAAAGTTGAGTACACAGGCAGGGAGCCAGAGCAATCGCCCCGTGGTCGATAACACCAGCAGTTCTGTGCAAAGCAGCACGTATGAGAACCAAAGTCTGCTCCAGAAAACAATATAGACAGAATCCAAGAAAAGGAATTGAAGCAGAGAGATTTCTCAGACAGGTTGGGGGGGTGTCTCAGGTACTGATTTTATATTTGTATCTCTATCCCAGAAACTTCTGAGGGTGGGATTCAGCACCTTTCCAGAGCAACTCAAAGTGTCCATGCCTTGTAGTTTTGTAACCAACCACCAAGTATTTCTGCTCTGTTTTAAAGGGGAAAGCAAGATTTATTTATACAATACGAGACCAGGGTATCCTAGGATACAGAATTCAAGACGTGTGTCTCCAAGACGTGTGTCTCCCAGCCTCTGCTCCTAACCACACCACAATCCACAGTGAGCAAACTATTTACACTGCCTGCGCTTGTCAGCATGCACACACCGCACTGCTCTCGATGTACCACTCCCCTGATTCTGCACAAGGACTTCTCAAATGCCACCCATAAACAACAACGACTTTCCCACCCTCTCCTCTTTCTCTTTGATGCCAAAGGGTGAGCAGGACTGGGGAAGAAGCTTCTTCCATTTTTGTTGTGGTTACTATGGTGTCAGAGACTCTGTATTGAACACCTTTTCAGAAGGCCATAAAGCATTTTAACAGATACCACCCAAGGACACGAACACTTTTCTTTTATAGGCACAGACACAAATTTGTTATAGAATTGCCAACAACAGTAGCCAAGACCTCCAAAAGCACCAACCGGTGCTCATCCCTGCAATGCTACTCAGGGTTTCGCTCCCTGGGAGCACAGAGTCCCCAGGAATTTGGGGAGATTTGCTCTCTAGCCTAAGAAAAACAGTAGTAGGCTTCATCTTTCTTACTTTGAAACCATCCTCTTTCCCAGCCCTCACCTGCCTCAGTTTTGCCACTTTATCGACCAGACAGGGTACGTTACACACTATGTTAGCAATTAACATCTGCCCTAATGCATTCGACATGGCAGCAGCACCTGTTTTGCTGGTGGAGTTCCAGTAGTCCAGGAAGGGGAACAGCTGCTATACTGGTAAGTACAAACAAGAAACCTTCAGTTCTCGTTTGAATGCTCTGGTTCTTATTTCCCTA